AATGCTGACTGAACACTGGATGGGTAAACGTGTTTCATTGTGAAATCATGCTGGTGGTGGCAGAACTGGCAGAGGATAATCCATTGGGTACTGAGGCAGATGGTATGATAAATGAGGACAAACAAAACCCTGTTTTGATTCTGGGAGGTGGGGAGAAAGGATAAGTGTATAAGTGTAGGAAATGGGTTAGACATGATTGTTGACCCCATAAGCCAAGGTGAGGGAGGAATTCCCAATTCAGGAGAAAGGAAGACCTATTCAAAGTTTTATTGTGGAAGATTGTGTCATCAGAAGAGATACCGGAAGCAAGGTGTGATGAAATGTAGGTGAGGGAGCAGGGGCAAGTAAGAGGGATTATAATCTAGTTGACAGTAAATCCCCAGAACTAGAAACGCAGAAGTCAAGGAAGCGGGGGGAAGAGTTGGCAATGAACCATGTAAAGTCAAGAGAATGATGGAAATTTCAAGCAAGGTTGATGAAGATGCTTTAGTTCTAGGTGTAACCTGGCAACAGCACTGATCCTGTGGTCAATTTAGTGGAGGCATGCCTATAGGGAGGCAGCCATGGCTAGCACCTATGTGGACACTTATAAATGCATCTCTAATTCAAGTGGAAGGATAAATTGTTCCATATGAGAACAAGTTCAACCAGGCAGAGGTTGGTGTTGGCAGATCAGGACAGCTTGTGCCCAAGTTCAACGAAGTAGTGGAGGCCCTCAGCCCATCCTGGTGGGGGAATAGATACAAAACATCCGTAATGAAAAGGAAATGGTTAGGACCAAAAAAACTGGAACTTGTTGAAAAAATGTAGGGCATGCAATCAATCATGGCTGTGGATGGTGAGGAGCTAAAAAATAAACAAAACAGAAAGAAATAAGTTCATTGAGATGGGAACAGACTAAAACAATGGTTTTACCAGGACTGTACGGTTTAAGATAGCGATAGAAATGGAATGTTTGGAGTTGGGGGAGGGCACTATAACACGAGAAATTCTCTGGACGATATGTGGTCAGGGAAAATCCCGAACATCATTGATGGAATCATTATTCCTGTGAAGTTAGGGAAAATGATAGAGAGTTGAAACTCAATCTGTAAACAATAGCACAGCCCTTGCAGGTTTGCTGATATGAGCATTCATCTCCTGCAGTTACCTTTGGTTTGGGACCTTATCAAATGCCTTTTGTAAATCCAAAAACAGTATGTTTACTGGTTCACCTTTATCTGCCTTGCTTTTTACATTCTCATAGAATGCTAATAAATTCATCAAACATGATTTCTCTTTTGTAAAATCATATTGGTTCTGCCTGAATATGTTATGATTGTCAGAATGTCTTGTTGCACCTTTTTTATTAATAGATTTCAGCATTTTCCACTGATGCATAAGCCTTAAGTTCTGAAATCCACTCCTTAAACATCTGTCATTTACCTTCTTAAAAAGACTCCTTAAAACATAGCACTTTGATCATGGGAATATGACCGAATATTTCCTTATGTTGTTCATTAGCCTTCAGATGGAATTGGTTGCACCCTTTCAGACAGTTGCTTCTTTCAATGACATGACTCAGAGGAAGATCTAGAGTATATGTTTAATAGAGGTTATTGAAGAATTGAGCATTTTGTTATGTTAAAGGTACTACGTGATATAAGCAGTTTTTGTTGGACTAAGATCCATTTCAAATCATTAAGGGAAAATTAATGTTATGTTGAACATATGTTGTATCTCAGAAATACCATATGTTGTTTGACTTTAAGATATCTTCATAAAAGAAAGGAAGGAAGAAGAAACTTGTATTATTGTTCTGAGGAAGGTTCAAAGGAAGGGTCAGAAGACCCGAAATGTTAACTCTGAATTTTCTTCACAGATGCTACCAGACCTACTGAGCTTTTATAGCAACCTCTGTTTTGTTCTTGTGTTATTGTATCATTCACTTACTCAAGACAGCTCTCAGCTCTTCATAAATAAATAAGTACAAGAGTTTGGTTAAGTTAGTTAGAAAACTATGTCTGTTTGGACACTTCATATAGTGGATGTTAGTGTGGAAAGGATGCAGAGGAGCTCCCACAAAATTAATATCTAATTTGAAGTACCTTAGTTATCAAGGTTAGAACCTTACTAGGTACCATTAACATTTAAAAAGAGATCTGAACACTCAGCAATTAACTGAGAGGTCTATGCCGCAAAATTTCATGTTCCTAAGCAAAAATATAAAAATGAACTGAATTGTTTAGAATAATCATACAGAATAATTAGAACCCCTACAGTGTGGAAGCAGGCCATTCAGTCTATCAAGTCCACACTGACCCTCTAAAGAGATCCCACCCAGACCCACCCCCTATTCTATCCCTGTAACGCTGCATTTCCCATGGATAATCCATGTACTCTGCACATCTCTGGACACTATGGGTAATTTAGCACAGCCAATCCATATAACTTGCACATCTTTGGACTGTGGGAGGAAACCCACGCACACACGGGGCGAATGCGCAAACTCCACACAGACAGTTGCCCAAATGTGGAATCAAACCCTGGTCTCTGGCACTGTGAGGCAGCAGTGCTAACCATTGAGCCATTGTGCTGCCTTCAAAAGGAATTAAACAGAGTAAAAACCACTAACTTAACACGATAGCCTATAAATTCTTATTTTATCTATCGCCCTATACTTTATACAACATCAACTCCCAAAATCCAAAAATACCCTTTTCTTATGGAATTTTGAGTTTATTCACTTTGCTGGGGATCCACCCAAATTCATGGGACAGCTCAGCAGATTTTTAGTTTAATGCCATTGGTATTCCAGCTATTGTACATGGTACAAATTTCATGGGAATCTTTCCATTAACTTTTGGCTAAGCAATCATCTACAGTCTTTATAGACCTCACAACTGTGGACTCTTCAGTTTAAAGATGGGCTTCATTGTTTTCTTCTTTTATGGATTTAATTATCAAGAACATTGCCTGGTTTATAATATCTCTCCTTGCACAAACATTTCTTTGCAGCTGATTTTCAGTTCCTAGCAGGCTGTCTGTTATGAGCTGACTGAGTGCTTACCACTTTCTACCATAAGGCTAAGTGAGGACCACTGAGATATCTTGCACCAAGGTTAAGCCTGAAGAACATTCCGATAGTTTTCACCTCACAAAATGCAAACAGACTAAACTTCTTTTAACAAACACGCAGATCGGTTAAACAAAAGAACCTTTGAAATAATGGTTCCACCCTGAATTCCTGTCTCGATAGGATTTGCATGATTTGGGATTATTAATGCAGAAAAGCATAGGAGGTTGAGAGGTGACCTTTTGGAAGTTTATAAAATCACGGTGGGGGTGTATAGATAGGGTTAATAGTAGTTGTCTTTCTCCTTGGATGGGGGGATTTCAAGTCTAGAGAGCACAGTTTTAAGGTGGGAGGACAGATTTAATAACAGACATGAGGGCCTTTTTTTTTTACACAAAGGGTGGCTTGCGTGTGGAATGAACTTCCTGTGGAAGTGTTAGACGTGAGTACAGTTACATTTAAAGACACCCAGGTAAGTGCATGAATAAGAAAGATTTGGAGGGAAATGGGCCAGGAGCAGGCAGGTGGGACATATTCTCTCAGGCTCAGCAAATATGTAGAGATCTTAGTAAAATGTGTACAACTTTCATGAGGTTTGACAGAATAATGAAAAGCTGTTTCCCTGGCTGGAGACAACAAGGTGCAGGGCTGGATGAACACAGCAGGCCAAGCAGCGTCATAGGAGCAGAAAGGCTAACATTTCGGGCCGAGATCCTGGAGAGTTGAGAATAGGAATGATTTAGAAGGATATGGGCCAAATGCTGGCAAATGGCATGAGATTAATTTAGGTTATCTGGTCGGCATGGATGAGTTGACTGAAGGGTCTGTTTCCATGCTGTACAATTCTGACTCTATAACAAGGAGATGCTAATCTCAGGCTAAGTGGTACTTTGATTGACGTGAGGAGAAACGTTTTTGCTCAGAGGATTGTGAATTTTTGGAATTTCCTGCTCCAGGCAATTATAGGTGCAAAAATGATAAATACATTCAAGTCTGAGATTGACAGATTTTTGGACACTAAAGGAATCATGGGATATGGGAATACAATGGAAAGGGTGAGCTCATATATAATTTACCTATGACCTTACTGAATGGTACAGCCTGTTCTAATCCTATTTCTTTCTTATCCTGCATTGCTGGTATGGAGCTCTACCCAAAATGTTGTTACCATGCTGCAGCCCTGTTTCTGACATCTTTCATGAAGATTGGTTCCCAACTGAACTTCCAATGTTCCAGCATTGCAACTTACACATCATTGAATGCAATGCTGTCGGAACACCATCACTTCCAAGATAGATTATTCTGGCATGAACTTTTATAGTTTTTCCTTTATTGTCATGGAGATGTAATCCTGGAATTTCCTACAGAATACCATAATGGTGGGAGGCACCATCCCTACATGGTCTGTAGCAACTCACAATAATGCCTATGACCACCAGTACAGGACAACTAAAGGTTATTTTTACCACATCAGAAGAACAGATTTCAGACATAATTTGGCAGAAGACTAGCAACCAACCATAACTTACTTCTATATCACACTTTTAATGTAGAAAAACATCCCAAAACATTTTACATAATGATAATATGATATAATAGAACAAAAAAAATCCTCCAAATTAAAGTAGATACCAGAAGGGATGGTCAAAATGGCCAATTTTACAGAGCACCTTGAATGAGAGGGAATTGGAGAGAATTTGGAAACAAATTTCAGAATATGGGAGTTGGGTGGCTGAAGGCATGGCATTAAGGCATTATTGGGTGGAAAAACGAGATATACACAAGGGGAATAATTGAATTCTAAAGTAAGTTACATAAAAATGCTTCAAGATAGAATACATCATTAACTGATATGAACAGAAGATATTTATCTGTTTTAATTATCCAAATATAAGAAATATCATACAGAGATATATGCTAATAAATTTTGACGTTGTTTTCTCAGGCTGGAGCCAATGTATTATTACAAGATATCAATGGAAATATTGCACTGGATTACACAATGGAAGGCACAGAATCAAGCTCCATTCTTCTGCGACATCTAGAAGATAATGGTACATAATTGATACATTACTTCATGAACAGTACTTAGCTGCTGTTAAATCCTCATATCAGTTTTCTGCTTGGAATGGTTTTTGTCATTTATGTAATGTAAAATGTTACAATTTATTTTGCTTAGCAAAAATTAACATCTAGATATAAAGTCAGGATAATAAGCAATCGTCATGAGCTACAAGCCCCTGACTGCCCAAAATTGTATATTCAGATGAATTATGAATTTTTCCCAGTTCCTCACAGATTGTTCTGACTCTTTAATAAAAGAGACAGCAGAGCATGTGTTGACATTTGAATTTCCCACCCTATCGCATGGGTACACATTACCTGTGTCTACATTCTGCGTGTATTTTTCTGCTATAACAAAAGGTAACCTAGTGTTAGACAGTTATTTGGTTGATAGGATCCGAGTTTTGCTGGAAAAAGACAGATTCAGTCAAATCTTTTGATCTTATACTCATCAATTCTCCATGGTAATATTCCTACTAATCAGAGTCCACTTGCAAACCAATCAGCACTCTCTTCTCAATGTTGTTTTCCCTTCGCTTTGGTATTTCTTGCGAATTGTCCTGATGAAAAAGTTTACACAAAATATGCCTTTTACCAGCAGTACTTATGTGAACATTATTTGTGGTTGGATGTGTAAAAGGAAAGGCAGGTGTGAGTATAAAGAGGATTAGTTCCCATCCTCTGTCTATCAAAAACAATTAATATGTACAGAGGTTTGTTGAATTGTGTCTTTTGACAATAACAGGGTGAAACAAGAATCATAGTTATTCTTTCAACTTTTTTTAAAATTCTGATTTAGTTTGGCTATTTTATTAATAAGTATTTTTTAAACATTGTTACTATGATAATCTTCCCCTTCGGGTTTTTCATGTTCTTCAAGCAAAGTTGGAATTAACCAGCAGAAATCTACTCCTTTTTTTCATTCTTGTCATTGTTGAGTACTACTAGGTAGATTTAACACAGGAAGATGCAGAATTAATACATTCCATTCCAAACCTCAGAAGCACCACCTTGACTGACTACGCTATTTCCGTTACCAGCTACTGTGGTATTTTTGAAAAGAATAGAGGTGGCTAATTAGTGCAGTTGGCAGAGTTTTTGTTCTTAGTCTGTGTCAATCAGGAATTGATTTTTATGTGGATTTTGCAGTGTAGGCACTTGCTGCTGACCACAGAGTAAGACTCAAATACTTTGAATTAACCTGTTAAGACATACCTCCTGGACAGGTAGGACTCAAGCTCAGATCTTCTGGCCCACACACTCCACTGCTGTGTCACAAGATGCTGAAGATACTATCTAATCAACCTGTTCAGAGATGTTAACACACATCCCTGGAGTAAGTGGTAGATTCAGACTCAACCTGTTTTTCTAATCAAACTGTTCAGAGATGTACACATCTCTGGAGAATGTGGGACTTGAACCCAGGTCTCTTGGTCCAGGGGTAGGGACACCATAACTGCACCATAAGACGGCCTCTAAGATTCAGATTCAATAAAGATTCCAGCAAGAGCTTTCAGCTGTATCACTGTGCAATGGTACGAAATTGTAAATTCTTTACTGGGCATTCCCAGGATAGAGCAAAAATAGTATAATGAAGCTCTCCAAGTATCAACCACATGAAAGGATTATCACAGATCCCTAAACCAGAATCTGACAGCACGAAAATAAAATTACTTAATTTTTTTTTTACAGAGAACAATTCACACAAAGCGTGAAAGTAAAATCCTTATTAGTGAAAAAATTTCAAAAATAACTTCAATTTACAGTAGTTTGAAAGTTCTACTAATTAATCATTAAGAATCATTTCACAACAATACAATATTATTGATCTTTCAATGTTAATAATCATTTTCACCATTGAAAAATCAATGAACAAGGTTTAATATTTTAAACAGATTTCAAAAGTAGATAGAGGAAGTTGTAATTTGCACTGATTTCAATGTGCCCAACATCTGGAATTCCTATCACCATCCCATCTACCTTCCCCAGCCCCACCCCTCCTCCTATTTATTTCAAAGCTCCCTTCCCCTTTCCCCATTTCTGAAGAAGGGTTCCGACCCGAAATGTCAACTTCCCTGGTCCTCTGATGCTGCCTGGCCTGCTGTGTTCCTCCAACTCCACACTGAGTTATCTCTGGAAGTTATAATTGGTTTCAGAGGAGTTAGGACAGCAAATAGCAGTCAGTTTGCTTTCGAACCATCACCCCCACTCCGCACAGCAGCCAATCCAGCACATAAAAATTGCATCAGAGATAGTAGGAACTGCAGATGCTGAAGAATCCGAGACAACAAGGTGCAGGGCTGGATGAACACAGCAGGCCATTGCAGTTTGATTTCATGTTGTTCAGACCAACTGGTCAAAGCCTGTGTTTTATCCTTTAGTTAGCATCACTGCAGGAACAGATAGTCATTTATTGTTACTTGTATTTTTTACAAAAACAAAGTGAAAATTGTTTTAAGCCATCAGGGCACCTATATTAACAACACAAGGCATAGATAAGAAAAAAAAAACTTTAAAAATTAAGACAAAGTCCACTTTAGTTTAATTCCCGGCTCCTGGGTTCAGGAAAAGACTGGAATACCGAGCCACAAGACGCAGCAGAAGTCACCCTCTTTGTTGCTGATTCTGGGGAGGAAGACGTCGCAAACGCTGCCCAAAGACATTGCGGGGCCGCTGGATGCTGAGCCCAAACCACCTCCAGCCACCGGCCTCTGCCAAGATACCAGGTCCCCAGAGCTCATCCCGCCACCGTCCGCCTTCTCAACACCCATTCCAGGGTCCCGGTCCGGACTCACCAGCTGGCGATACACTCCGGACCCCGAGGAAGATGCCTTTATGCTGCCTAATCCCCACACATGCATATCCTGCTCTCTAATTCATTTATTTCCCTTTCTTCAACAATCTATCTAATTTAGCCTTCAGTGTTGATAGCAACTTTGAGAAACTTCATTGCACAACATTGCTTCAAGTGGCACTGCGCAGTCTATGTTGAGTCACCAAATGCAGTCAGCTCGCTTGCTATCTGCGCGGCCTGTGGTACAGATATTTTCTGATGTATTTGTTTTTGGCAATGTTATCACACACCTCTGGAGTAGGTAGGACTTGAACCTGGACCTCATAGCTTAGAAGAAGAAACTGCACCCTGTTGTATACCCATTCATCAATGATACTAATGAGGGGTCCCAACCTTTGTCTTCCCCAAAGAACAGGGTGTAAGCCTCTAAAGTCATGTAAATAAATATTTTGCCCACGTCTCTGTTTCAATTGTTAGTTCTAGTAACAATTTCCATAATCTCACAATCCCTAGTATAATTGTGTTTCTTCTGCTTTGCATCCCAATTCCCAGTGTGTGTATTAGTCACTTTCTTCTAGATTCTCAAACTCCAGAAACATTCTGTTTTCAATCAAATTTGTCTATAATTTTAAAGATCCCATTTTTACATTTATACGAACCAAACTTATTAACATAATCTCTTTACAGCCAGCAGGCCAAGAAGATTTTTATTACGTTAGAAGGAATTTGGGCTGGATTTGAACTAAAGCCTTATTACTACAAAGAAACAAAATCTTAGACATGGCTTCAAGTCCCACCTGCTCCAGAGGTGTGTAAGAACATCACTGAACAGGTTGATTTAAAAAATGGGTTAACAAAAAAATTGAAAGTAGGGAGGTGGTGCAGTGATGGAGTCCCTACCCCTAGACTGGGGGGCCTAATTTCAAGTCTCACCTGCTTCAGAGGTGATTAATAACATCTCTGAACAGTTTGATTAGAAAAACAGATAAGGGAAAAAGATAACTGAGAATGAAACAAAATCCTATGGGATACAGGCCATATTCTGAACTTCAACAGCTTTTAGTAAAATATGTTAAGAAATGCAAAAATGCATCAAAGAAAATTTCCATTTATATAATGACCTTCAAGAGCTCAAGACGTTTTTTAAAAGAATTCCAGCTAATAAAACACTTTGTTCTTGAAGTTCAGTCTTTTTTTTTGGAATATAGGAAATACGCCATCCAATTTCTGCCCAGCAAGCGCATACAGGTAACAATATCACAAGCTCCAGAAATTTCTCATGACATGCCTGAACAAGTTGATTAAAAATATCCAGACTTCTTGTCTAAAAGTAAATTTCTTAACAGTATTTGCACAAGGTTGTTTTCAAAGCCTCTAACCTGCAGTATAGTTTAATTTTCTCTTGATCACACTTAATTTCAAGATGGTGATTCTCCTTGATAGATTTATTTCTTCACATTACTTGTTGGCAGATTCCTGATCTCTCAGTTACATTGTTCAATAGCAATTAAATTACACATGATGGGAAGATCGAGTAAACAGTAATAGGCTTCCCTGTTTATTCATTGGAGACTAGTGCAGGTGAGTTGATGCAAATAGACATTGTGCAGAACATACAGAAGCTCCCAGAATCAAACATTTTAATTATTTTAAATTTTCTCAAAATATGTATGACATACAAAGTAAGGTATAGATTTTGGATGTTTCTGTTTTGTTCTTCGTCCTCGTGATCTCTCTGGGTTATGCCGTAATTTAAAAATGTCAGCTAATTATTTATTTTTCTCCCGAGTATGTATACAAGTTTCTCTTGAACTTGACAACTATACACCCTTAACACCTTTCTCGATCATCCAAACTATTTGGAAACTTCTAAGTAAAGTACTTTTATCCAAACTCTGTGATCACCTTGTGTGGCCCAATTCCAAGGTACCTTGATAGGTCCCTTCACCAGCAGTTTTGGCTAGTGAGGTACAAGGATACAGGTAGCCAGCCCATATATGTGGCACTACCATGCTTACTGGCTCCATTGTAGGAGTGAGCAGATCATGGAGTCATGATGGAGTCATGCCCCTCTTGTCAGGAGATATTGCTCACAACCTGTCAAAAGGATTGTGAATTATTGTTGGGAGTGAGAGCCTAGTTCCCCAAGAGTCCTGAGAGCCAAGTCTTAAAGCCCCAGTCAAAAATATAACTGTCATTCAGCATTGCCATTGAAATCCATTGGTTTTCTTACCTCCTCATAAAGTTGTCAATCAATCACAGCCACTCATAGTATGAATGTCAAGCTTTTATCTATTAGATATCTCAATCTATGTGAAAACAAAAAATAAACAGACAGTGGGGAAAGGACCCTTCAAAGAACTATGTCTTTACAAAGTAATAGACATGTCAACCATACAAAGCTTTCCCTCTCTGCAACCTTGTAAACATTACTTACTGAGATCTAAGTGGAATACTCATTCTTGGAGCACAGCCCGGTATTCACAACAACCGTAGCATTCCCAGATTCAGGCCTTCTGTTTTTATCAGATTTTATGGCTGGTTTAATTAGTGTTTTCATCAGTGGTAACTCCAGCCTATTGTTTGTTGGGGATTCAGTGATTGTGATGGCATTGAATATCAATGGGAGTTAGTCAGATTATCTCTTGGTCATAGCCTGGCAGTTTGAATAGCAGCAATGTTACTTACCAGTCTAAACCTGCAGGTTGCCCAGTCCTGAATGGAATGCTTCATTATTGATGGCACCACAAGTGCTAGTCAAGTTTTAAACATTGTGTAGTTGTCAGAGTGCATTCCCTTTTTTGATCTTATGCTGGAGGGAAAGTCACAAAAGAACCTTTGAAACATGCATGCTCCCACTACACAACATGAATTAAGATTCATTATGGGGCAATGAGCAGAAACGTTGACATTTAGGTCACAGTAACGGACAAGATAGGGAAGAGATGCTACTCAATTGATGATCCACTAGGAACTGAGACAGTATATTGGGTACTAACTGGATTGGGTGGGAAAAGTGAGCTATGGGTGAGAAGTGGGAGCACTTTGAGACAATTTCCCAAATTATGACCTCCTCTCATTATTGTCCTCTACACCCACAAAACTCTTATGTCTCTGCTCGTGCGCAGCTTGATGTAGTTTAATGACCATTTTGCATTGGTCACAGACAAGGTATTTATCAGTTGTTTTCAGGGAACAGACCTCTCCACAATGTCCAATGTCATGGCAGCATTGTCTCAGTTGAGAGTCACTCTCTAGACTCCATGCACACAGCATTCTCTACAAGCATTGTCTCAATTATTTGCAACACTAATCCACAACTACAGGAGCCAGGCTTCTCCATTCCCTGCTTTTATAGATGATGCAGGTGGCGCATCTGTCAATATGTCACAAAGTTGCTGCTGGACCTTTAGCATTCTTCCTTTCAACGATGGACACAGATGGTGGAATCTGGAGCCACCCGAGCAGAGCTTGTTGAGAGTTAATGCCCAACAAACTGTTTACCCAGTTAAGTGGGAGTATTTGTGTTGGTCCATGGCTCCATCTCCTCTGATGGTACTCTTTCAGATGGAATAACGTCTTATGAGGAATTGTCATTGGGTATGCCCACAGACAGCTGCCCTCTTTTTTTCATTTATCCACTTGACCAAGCTGACCTGTAACCTTAACGTTTATTTATAAAGTGTCAATGAATGTCAGAAAATTATGAGTATTCACCAATTAGCTGTTTCCCCTAACCAGATTAACAACCAATTACATCAGCAGTTCCCAATGCAGCCTCCACATCAGTAATTTTTTTTCTGAGCTTTCAGATCATTCCCAACTCGTGCTGTTTTCAAGCTCTCTCATCACTTCACACTCATGCTATTACTCACTTACCAAAGCAAGTCTTCCCTGGAGATTTTGAGTCTGATGAGGGCTCCCAGGTGGTGAAATGGAAGCGCTAAAGGCTTCACTCAAGCCATTTGATGCCCTGGCAGAGTTTCCCTGAGATTACTGCCCACGTGTATTGAAATAGAAAAGCAGTGCAGCTCCTCTTCGAAGTAAATACATGCCAGAAGTAGAAAGAAACTACAAGTGGAGGGAATTTTGAACCAGCACCAAACGTTTGTTGTCTGTGGTATGTTTCAGTAGACAATAAGCACAGATGGGTCTTCACAGTTATCTACATACTCATCAGACCCCAAACGATGAATATGTTCATCTTTTCCACAAACTGAAAAAACAAGAAGGGGGTCATCCTGACACTTACTGCAAGTGAAAAGGATTCTATTTTTTAAAATGTCCAGATAACATGGGGCCATATGAAATGAATCATGCAAGTCAGTGCCTGGTATCCAAGCAGTAATATAGATAGTAAGAACTGCTGATGCTGGAGTCAGAGATAACACAGAATGGAGCTGGAGGAATGCAGCTGGCCAGGCAGCATCAGAGGAGCAGGAAAGTTGACGTTTCGGGTCGGGACACTTCTTCAGAAATGGGGAAGGAGGAATGGAGGAATAAATAGAGAGAGGAGGAGTGGGGCTGGGGAAGGTAGGTGGGATGGTGATAGGTGAGTACAGGTAGGCAGTAATGGGGATTGGTCAGTGAGGTGGGAGGAGCGAAGAGGTGTGAGAGAAGAAGAACAGGTTGTGTCAGGTCAAGGAGGTGGGGATGAGAGGGAGGGCTGGTCATGGGATGAGGCCTGGGGTGGGGAGATTTTGAAACTGGTAAACTCCACATTTAGGCCAAGGCGGAATATGAGGTGCTGCTCCTCCAGTTTCTGGGTGGCGTCATTGTGACATTGGGTGTGGTGAGGCTAGTGGGGAGTGTGGAGCAGACAAAGGAGAAACGAAGAAGGGTCTAGGCCTGAAGCGTCAGCTTTCCTGCTCCTCTGATGCTGCTTGGCCTGCTGTGTTCATCCAGCTCTCCACCTTGTTATTTCAGATTCTCCAGCATGTGCAGTTCCTACTATCTCTTCTTTCTTACCTGCTTGGATGATTCTGAATTGCCAGTCAAATGATTTTCATGTTGCATATTACTTGATTTTATATAAAGTTACATAGAGTCAAAAACAAGTGCCTCAACTTAATGCTGGTTTTAATGCTTTCCATGAGCATCCTACCATCCCTCTTCATCTAACTCTATCTGAATATCCTTCTGTTTCTTTTTCCCTTCCATATTTATCTCAGTGCTTCTTAAATGTTATATACTTTGATTACATTTTGTGACAATGAGTATTGCATTCTTGTCATTGGGTTTCTTCTGAATTTGCTGTTGCATTTATTAGTGACTAGCTTATACATGTCCCATCATTAATATCATCTACTTCCACCTCTGAAAATCACTCTACTCCACCCTTGCCTCAGCTCATTTGTTAATGAAATTCTCTAAATTGCATCAAGCCCTATTCGTCCAATACCGCTGTTCACTGTAGATGCATTGTTTGCCAGTCTAACAATGCCTTAATTTGAACAAATCATCTTCGTTTTCAAAATTTTTCTATTCCTTCGCATCCCCCTTTACTGTAATGTCTTCCAGCTCTATAACCTAAGATTGGTGAATTGTGTATATATATTCCAGACAAAGATTGATAGATTTCACGATATTAAAGATGTGAAAAGGTAAGGGGTTGCCCAGAAAAGTAACATTAAGGTGGAAGATCAGCATTGAATGGTGGAACAGGCTCAAGGAGACAAATAGCCTTCTCCTGTTTCCATGTCTGACATTCCAGTGATTTCTGCACATCCCCAATTTTCTTCACTTCACCATTAGTGGCTATGTATTCCCTAAGCCACTTGCTCTTTACCTTTCACTCCTCCTGTAAACTGCTCCTTTAAAACCTATATCTGTCATCAAACCTATCTGTCCAATCACCCTCTTTGGGTCATAGAGTTATACAGCACAGAAACAGACCCTTCAATCCAATCAGTCCACACCAACCATAATCCCAAACTAAACTGGTCCCACCTGCCTGCACTTGGCCCAAATCCCTCCATGATTTGATGTCCAATTTTGCTTATTAAAGGTTCTGGAAGTACCTTGGGCTGTAATTTCTCTAATGAGATACTAGGGTTTTTTTTTTGTAAATCTCTTGAAACTTTACTTTGTTTTACGGGAAGATCACAAGCAGCATTTCTCAATTCATGTCATTGTGTTGCATGATATGCCAGTTATTCATGTTTAATTCAAATATTATTCTGTACAGGTGTTGATGCAAATTCTTTGAGACAGATGAAGATGCAACGTCCTTCCAAAATGTTGGCAGATGTTAGGAATCTCTTGGCAGCTGGTGGGAATGTCAATCAAATAAATGATGAAGGAGTCACGCTGGTAAAATTTTTATTGCTTCAACCTAGTTCAGCGCACCACACTTGACTAATCATTTTACCTTTTCATTTGCTGCTGTATTATTGACAAAACAACACTTCATTACAAGCATTGTCAAAATGTAAACTGTTGGTGTACTCATGCCTGATAGATACTGAATTGCCCACATCAGCTTATATATTCCCTGCAAATCTCTGCAACATCCCTGGGCCTAACTGGAAAGTTTCTAGGTTGGAAAATTAAATACAATTTGTTGAATTCAATCATTTTTGGGATTTTTGTCAATGGCACAAAGCATGTCCAAAATTTCAAGTGTTCTATCATTTTGCTGGTGTGATGTTTGGGGTGGCCATGTCATGTCGCATACTGCATTTTTCAAATGAAATCTACTTGAAGAGATTTATTTATGTGTGTGGTGAGTATGAGGAAGATGGGGTTGCAATGTTTTCAATTTCTTCAATAACTCTCCTGAATTAATTTGTGGGTTTCTTTAATTTCAGGGTCCCACTTCAAATTAATTTGTTGAGACTGGACATCAGAAATCAACTAATTTTCTGTTAGAAACATGTTTAAAAAAACATATTCCTGGGATACTTTTCAAATGAAGAACTAAATCATCCTGAGTTGTGCATACATGTATATCAGTGATGCAGCCAACAAAGAAATTTGAACTTATCAAGAATAACCAAGGATATATAATTTACAAACTGTCCAGCTATGTTTATATTCCATTGATCCTGCTCCCTAAGATCACTGCTGGTCACAGTTTATGTTATTAATGTAGATTTTGGATTGTAACATACATGTATTTTTTAAATAAGTGAATGACATCATGTTTGTGAAGTGAAGGTGTTTAGAACATAGAACATAGAACAGTACAGGCCCTTCGGCCCACGATGTTGTGCCAACCTATTATCCTATTAAGATCAATCTATCCTGCATACCTACATTTTACTATCCTCCTATCCAAGAGTCACTTAAAAGTCTCTAAAGTATCTGACTCTACTACCACTGCTGGCAGCACATTCCACACGCTCACCACTCTCTGTGTGAAGAACCTACCTCTGACATCTCCCCTATACCTTCCTCCAATCACCTTAAAATAGTCATTTCAGCCCTGGGAAAAAGTCTCTGACTATCCACTCTATCTATGCCTCTCATCATCTTGTACACCTCTATCAAGTCACCTCTCATACTCCTTAGCTCCAATGAGAAAAGCCATAGCTCCCTCAACCTTTCCTCGTAAGACCTGGTAAATCTCCTCTGCACCCTCTCTAAAGCTTCCACATCCTTCCTATAATGACTTGACCAGAAATGAACACAATATTCCAAATGTAGTCTAACCAGAGTTTTATAGAGCTGCAGCATAACCTCACGGCTCTTAAACACAATTCCCCTGCCAATGAAAGCCAATACACCAAAAGTCTTCTTTACAACCCTATCAACTTGGGTAGCAACTTTGAGGGATCTATGGATGTGGACCGCAAGATCCCTCTGTTCCTCCACACTGCTGAGAATCCTGCCATTAACCCTGTATTCAGCATTCAAATTTGACCTTCCAAAAGGAATCACGTTTGTAGGAGAGAAATAGTTAATACTTAAGGGGGCTGCAAAGAACAGCAAATAATTTAGAGCCCAGAAATAGAACAGCTCAAGGAGTTCAGATGATTGTAGATCTGGAGAAGATTACGAAGTTAGGGAATGGCGAGACCTGGGGGGTTTGAACAATATGATAAGAAATTTAAAATCAAGGTGTTTCTTAGCTGGGAGTCAAGTAAGGTGAATGAGCAT